TATCTTCTCGCTTAGACAGCTGTAATTCATTATTGTCTGGTCTCCCTGTAACTAAGATAAAACCTCTTATTCGTGTACAAAATGCAGCAGCCCGCCTTGTCACTCGTGCTCGAAAATATGACCACATTACAGACATTTTTATTAAACTTCATTGGTTACCAGTTGTACAAAGAATCAATTTCAAATTACTTTTACTAGTGTATAAATCTTTGTATGGTTTTGCCCCAAATTATCTATGTGAATTAATCGAATTTTATGTACCTAGTCGTAGTTTAAGATCTGAATCAAAGTTTCTTATTAAAACTCGTCAGGTGTGTAGTAAAAAGTCCAAGGTGTTATACAAAGACCGTGCTTTTGAAAATTTAGGTCCTAAACTTTTTAATGAATTACCTCTGTCTGTTCGTTCTAGTCCTTCAGTAGACATTTTTAAATCCAGACTGAAAACGCACTTATTTAAATGTGCTTTTAATATTTGACTGATTGTTTATTGTATCAGCGCCTTTGATCTTCATATGTTGGAATTGTTGCGCTTAATTAAATAAAGTTATTATTATTATTATTATTATTATTATTAATAACGAGCTTTATTTGTTTTTCCTTCAGAACGTGTAAGTGTTAGTGATGGTATATATCAAATGAATAACGTGTTGTGTCACGTGTTGGCCGTTCCCGACTTCGATCCCAACATGAAGGGTGAAGTAAAAGCTGAACTCTACCAGGATTTCCCCAAACCATATGTACTTGAAGATGCAATTAAAGGAAGATTCGCAAATTACAAGCACGTGTTTGTTATTGTACTGGCATACGGATTTGAAGAGTAAGTAAAATACACAGCGCAAATAGATTTTACACGACATGAATACTTTGTTGTGAGATAACAAATATTCGGTAACTGTTTCAATCAGAGTTACAATAAGTGATCGTCAGCCTGACAGGGTCGCGTGAGTCATTCATTCATGACTACATGTCGTAGTGATCGTAAGTACTTGTTATTTCTTCAAATACAACAGATTCACGCATACAGCGTCGATAATCTATTCTATTTTTTACTAGCTTTGGAAATGACGGCAAATACGCCATGGAATTTGCGCACTTTCCCGATCTAAACGCCACTGATTGTCAAGCGTTCCTTCATCCAATTATTACCTATTACAAGAATGGTGATCTTGTAGATGAACTGAAATTACCTGAGTCGTTAGTACTGAGATTCGACATTCCTTTGACTCTAGACCAAAACCCAGATGTAGGAAATAACAGGATGAGAAATTTCATCAACAAACAGGTAATTATAGTGACAGTCAGAAAGCTTTTCTTTCATTTCTTTTCATCCAAAGGTTTACATGGCGGTCCTCTTCCTGACAAAGTGTATTGGAGGATGGAAGAAAAATGATTATATATCTGACTTTATATGATGATTATATAACTATGTAATATAATGTTATAAAATTGATAACATGGCAAAACAAATTCGATAAACTTATTTTTGTCACGTGATTATTCTGATGACATTCGTGATTTATGAGTCACTTTCGCAATATCGGAACCAATGCAAAGCTTCTTACGAGATTGTGTCTGATTGGTTATTCTAACTCCAAACCCTTGCAGTAAGACCAATCAGAGGGAAGCTTGTGTTATTGTCGTATTAAATTCATGTAAATATAAATATTGGTAATTGTGCTTAGACCGTGTCTCGAGATTGAATAAACTTAATATCAATTGCTATGAACAAAATAACTCACACTCTATATTCTCTTACAGCTGAACTTGAAGCCCGGGCAACATTTATATGAAGGATTCTTCATGGAGAAAGTGTCAGAAAGGGTCACTCCCTTCTCAGAGGACGAGAAAAGAAGAGTTCCAGATCTTAGCGTATTCAAGACGTGTATTCCATTCAGCATCGACTTGAAACCAAAAATGACTTAAATAGTCTCAACTATGCATGTTTTAGGAATACTCCAAAAACTAGAAACAATATCTGCACTTTGATGCTTCATGTTCCCTTGGTACATGAATGTTCTTAATGATTCGTACTCATATTCTTGGTAGCAGCGATAATAACTCAGTGTTAAAACAAGATAGTATATTTAAAGACCAAATACATCTGTATCAACTATAACTAAGTCCACAACAACGTTTTATGATTTGGAACCACTAATTGCTACTGTATTATCATCAACATTCGCAATCGTAATTATTATTGGGATCTTCTGATAACAATAATTGTATTTGATTTCAAAACAAGCGAGTTTCATGTCATTTGAATTGTCATCATTTATTTCTCTTATATTCTCAACTCGAGTATTGTAATGAAAAATGTCCCTCTGTGTTTACCATGTATTGTCCTTGTAACGTAATAAAATGATTTGTTTATTCTAATACACGTTTTTTATCTTTGAAAATTTAAGCACCAGTATTAATTATTACCTGAGTCTGAGAGTCAATGTGTGGCATATAAACCCTTTGAAGTCTACTTCTGTCACCAATCACAAAATTAATAAATTTGTCACTGATTTCTTCCAAAAATGTGATCAAGACATGTAGCCATTAGTTTTGGTTCAAAGTGCCCAGCAAATTATAGAAAAATAGTTAGAATATTCCAAATTATTACACCCAACCTTTGGCGAGAAAGGATTAAATAAATGTGCAAATACTAATGCCTTAATTGAAATCCTTATTGTATATTACGACATCGATCTGTTACACTGCTTCCTTCATTGCTATGGCATCGGTAACATGGGTGAAACTTTCCTGAACTAAAATGTTAAGTACAAGTAAAAGTGACAGTCTCTGGTCAGTGAAATTGGCTGAGTAATCCTAGTCCTAGTAATCCTAGTAGTAATCCTACTGCACGTATTTTCCAAAAAGTGTATTCAGCGAAAATTAATTCCAGCTAAAATAAAGTATTTTACAGTAAATTTTCCTGTAAAGTCGACTCCCCTGGTTTCTAATACTAGTATATAGTATATCCATATCAATGGAAAAGCTTTAAAACGATGGAGGGACTATAGATTTGGGTCGGCTCATCAACCTAACGCATATTGCTGAATGGTGCTTTTGGTTATCCAGTAGACAATAAACATACAGCCTGTCGGCTCCTATAGCTCCGGTACTCATATAGAAATCCACGATTTGAATGCCATTTTTGACATCACGGTTAGCTGGGACTTTCACAGCAGATTTACGCGTTGTCCGTAGTTTCAAATATCAAGTTTATTTCTGCAGTAGAATAATAGGTTTCAGTGAAAGAAAATGTGTATGACATCTGAATTCAATACAGTAGCTGATGTGTGGTATTATTGACGAATAGTACATACTTAATGTGACGTATTTCGAAATGATACATATTTTCTATTGTTTCAATGTTTATTCAAAGGTCGTACATCCTGGTACTTACAGGGGTTTTGTTGTTCCATCACAGCAAGAATTTCCAATAATATACATCAATTTTTACTATGTTTAACTGTTTTTGAATTTCAATGATAACTTGTATTTTTGAGGGATAATAATAATTAAATTTGAATTGATAGTGAATTTGTATCCCCAGAAAGTACCAAAATTTGTGACCTTTTGGGGGTCATGCATATGGCGATCAATTGAAATTATCAGCACGCCCTCTATCTGTCTCATTAATGAATAACGACATTGTGGTGATTCACATTGCACAATTCATTCAAATGAGCCCGAGAATAAGACAGCAACATCTCCTCAATTATTGAGGTCAATTCACGAATCTTTCAAAATAAATTTGTTTTTCATAACATTATATGTGATTTCTATTTTAAATGTGCATTTTGATTTATTTCAACTTCATTATCACTATTTTGTAGTTAGGCCACAGACTTTTTTTATTCCTTGTTTCGCGGGTTTCTATAAGGCAATTTTTTTGAGGAGGGCGGAAAAAAATAAAATTAATTCCCTTTTTCCCATTAGATTTGTGTGATTCTCAAAGAATTGTAAGTGAGATCATTGATCGGAGAGACGAAATGAAATGAAATTTTATTTCATGTATAACCTTGTTTCTCATCTGCGCGAGACTTCGGTACTTTGATCATGATACTGCCACGAAAATACAACTTGGATTTGTTATGCGGCGGGCGGTAATACAATGAAGATACAAATAATATTTTTTTAACAAGGGATAATAAAAGTCTGACCTTACTAGTCACCCACACAATTGCACTAGTGATTTTTTTTTATTTTTCAATTGTGATGTAATTTTTTTCTTATAATTCGGATTTCCTAGTTATTTTTTCAGTTATTTGCTTATTGTTGTGCGTTTTTTGATTTAGTTGCACTCTTATTTTATTTGTGTCTCTGTTCTGTAGTTTTAGTGACCTTACTACTGTCCTGTCCTAAGTCAGTGTTGTGTTAATAAATATACCACTATGATTGGCTATTTTTTATATCAGTTCGTATTTGATTGGTTACATAATTGACAAGTATGATTGGGTGCGAGGCCGAACGTCATCGTCTGTTATTGGTCGTATAGGGGAGACATGTTGTTGAGTAAGAGGTTGAAGGTCGTATCCGAAATTGTCACCAAGAAAAATGTCACGGTCTCTTTCTTCTTTCTAGCACCGTTTGAAGGTAATCTAGCTATCATAAAAATCAACACAATTTTAACTGAAATCATTTCAAATCATTTAATCATGCATAATTATTCAATATGGCATAACTACTTCAGATACTGAAAACAAACTATTATTGCTTCCGGAATGGGCTATTTGCGAGTTATAAATGATGAAGAAGTCAACGAACTATGTGTCACAGCGTTGTAGGCTTTTTGTTGTTGCTTCTAGTCGGAAATCTGTCAGGACACACGGTACAGTTGTAGTTATAACACACGCCATTTATTGTGAAGGAATTCAATCAGGTAGATACAGTACAATATGTTGACATAAGTTGGTTGCTACGTGACAGCCTCACGGCTACGCCTGGAGATGTGTGTTGTTGGACAACCACGACTAAGATGACCGACGCCGACCGAGAATGAAATCACTCCCGTCTTTTTATAGAGAAGGGGTCATTGGATCACGGGGTATTCGTAATGTAGTTACATTGGGCAAGCAGAACAATCAATATGTAAATATATCTGTAATTGGCTCACAATCAATACCAAAGTCATAACACATCAAGACAATTGAATGTTAGGTAACGCTTGGTAACCATTTCAAAATAGACGAGAATAACTGGACAATGACGGTGGCATAATATACGGTTTAAGATCATTCGAGTGTACGTACCAAAGGCTAGTAACATGCTAATTTTCCCCTATAGGAGTGACCTCACTCCATAAAATATTGCATTTAAAATTTAACACCTCATCCTCACTGATTTTCAGAAATCAGTCACATGATATTTCAATCCAAGTTTTTAGTGTTGGTATTAAAAATAAAATACTATATGTTGTAGAATGGTATATTCTAGACTCGATTTCCAGTCTCTGGCCCTCGCGTATATACTGTAGTTGCACTGTGCCGATTCTTTTTGTTATGCCCTCACATGGACGCATATTTTAGACAGACTTTTGATACTCAGTAGTTTTGATTTTATTTTGTTTGTTTATAACTTTATCTCTTTTATATTGTTAAGCGTCTATGAACATTTAATTTTGAATATATGGCGCTATATAAATGCATACTTATTACTTATTATTAGTAAGATGCTGATTAAACATGATTACCGTAATTTAAATAAAGTTCTCGAAATTATTTGTTCAAATGGTTAAATTAAGAACGCCGTATTTAGGTCAATGAAATCGATAGACAGATTTCAGTGGTGTTTTCAGACGTGAAAACGACACCATATTATTCCGTATTACGCACGACGTTGTGGTATGTGCTGTACACCGCCCACTGGGTGAGTTATGTATTATTCACGTGACCCGTGAATAAAAGCGACATATCACAGTGTTATTTTTATAGGATATTTTTAAATGTTGTCATAATAATACATTGTCTCTACAGCTGGGTCGGAATTGCCCTTTCTTTTTTTCTATGAAGAGCAAAAATACAAACTTTATAAAGACATTACAGAATAATAATTGTGACGACTAATTGCCGGATCTAAGCCCATGGTTTCCAGGAAACACTGCAGTATTTTCGGCTGAAATTTGGGGGTATACTGAGTGTTACTAAATCCACGTAAATGTGACTCAACTGTTTAAGAATCTGTTTTTTTTTTTTTAAGTTAACAGAGATGTGTCTTGCAGCCAAGTAATTCACTACTACTATATATCTACTACATTGTCTGAAGTGAAGTATCGGTGTTAACTTGGAACGCATGGCACTAACGGTGTAGATTTGACCGAGTCTCGGCGAGATAAGTTACATTCATTATTTAAAAAAAATTGTAGTGACTACTAAACACGAATAATTTGTTCTAATATTGCAAAATACTTAAATGTTAGTTTATTGACCAGTGCTACTGCAGAACACATGTGATGTTTAGAGGATAATTTTATAACAAAGAGGGCACATTTTGGAAAAGCTTGTGCTTGTGTAAATATACAATAATCTATAATCTATTGATCTATTGTCAAATATTACGGTCCCATATAGTCCAAGTGCATCTGATAAGATAAATAAACACTCAAGAATACATCTAAGCAAAGATATAAGCTTCTGAAAATTTAATGTTGCAAACGTCCGTTTGATTATCATCCTAACGAAATTCATATTTTTAATTAGTTATAGTGATTCATATAAGTTTGAAAAAATGTTTCAGGTGTTTAAAATTATTAGGAAAAAGATTTTGTCCTTTCTCACTACGTTCAGCAGTCAATGAAGTCAATGCCATTCGCTGACTGGCTTTCAAATCGGTGGTCAGGATTGGGTTTGCATTTGGCGACAAAACTGGATTAATATATCTTCATGTTTCAATGTAATACATTGTTTACATTTCCATCAAATTTGATGATATATTGGATACGTAAGAGTTATAGCACCATACTTATGTATGAGTGTATGTCGCGTCCTAGCTCCTCGCCAAAACCATAACGACAGTCTATGGGTGCGACTGGAAATATTTGTTGATACGCGTAATACGTATATTCGGCGGGCTGTCTATACACAGAGTAGGTGTATTACATTTCACCTATCGTCGCATCCATGGTACACTTATTTGGCCATGTTTATATCAAGTTCGCGAAACCATAAAAGCAGTGAACAGCACGAGTTATCTTCTTGTAACCTAGCAGCTAGCGATATATGGTATTTACAACAGTTAGGTGAAGACGTGTTCGTATGTCAGATATGTTGAAAATATAGTTTGTCTTGTATTTACCCCTCCCCCTCTTTTACTAGTAGCTTTGCGATGAGCGACTTTGGCGGTAAGTGGCTTTCGCAATGAATGACCGTCGCAGTGTGTAGGGCTTT